CATCCTCAACATAATCACTATCGTCACTCCCTCACTCACTCCTCCACTCACTCACTCATATCGGGCGGGAGTTTCCTCTGTGACTGTTGTCACTCTTGGGCTCGTGGGGCCTGCATATGGGGAAGTGTCGGGCGGGAACCTCGTCTGCGAGTGAAACGCGAGGAAGTCTCAGGCGGGAGCCTCCTCCCTATGTGACCCGCAGATCACGTTACTAATCCGGGCGGGCCATCGGAATCTTGTAACTGTCGTCACTTCTGGGCCCCTGAAGCCTGAATATGGCCGAAGTCTCAAGCGGGAACCTCGTCTGTGAGTGAATTGCGAAGAATTCTCATGCGGGAGTCCCCTCCATCTGGGGCCCGCAGCCCACCTTACGAATCCGAGAGCCATCGGAATCCTGTAACTGTCGTCACTTTTGGCCGCTTCAAGCTTGATTACGCCGGAAGTCTCAGGCGGGAGCCTCGTCTGTGAGTGAATCGCAAGGAAGTCTCAGGCGGGAGCCCCCTCCCTATGGGGCCCGCAGCTCATGTTACTAATCCGAGCGGGTCATCGAAATTGTGTAACTGACGTCACTTTTGAGTTTTTCAAGCTTGAGTTTGGCGGAAGTCTCAGGCAGGAGCCTCGTCTGTGAGCGAATTGCCCCAAAAGAAAACCCAAGCGAGAGCCCCATCCCTATGGGGCCCGCAGCTCATGTTACTAATCCGAGCGGGCCATCGGAATCCTGTACCTGACATCACGTTTGGCCTCTTCAAGCTTGAGTATGGCGGAAGTCTCGGGCGGGCGCTTCGTCTGTGCGTGACTTGCGACGATCTCTCATGCCGGAGCCCCCTCCCTATGGGGCCCGCAGCTCATGTTGCTAATCCGAGCGTGCCATCGGAATCCTACAACCGTCGCAATGTTTGGCCTCTTCAACCTGGAGCATGGGGGGAATATTAGGCGGGAGCCTCCTGTGAATCACTGGCGAGGAAATCTCAGGCTGGAGCCCCCTCCCTACGGGCCCACAAATCATGTCATTAAGCCGAGCGGGCCACCGGAACCCTGTAATTGTCTTCATGTTTGAGCCCCTGCGGCTCGAAGATTGAGGAAGTATCAGGCGGGAGCCTCGTCTGTGAGTGCACTGCGAAGAAGTCGGGAGCCTCCTCCTTATGGGGTCCGCAAACGGCGTTACTAATCCGAGCGGGTCATCGGAAGCCTTTCACTGTTGTCACTCTTGGGCTCGCGGGGCCTGCAAGAGGAGGAAGTGTCAGGCGGGAACCTCGTCTGCGAGTGAACTTCGAGGAAGTCTCATGCTGGAGCCTCGTCCCTATGTGGCCCGCAGATCATGTTACTTATCCGAGCGGGCCATCGGAACCCTGTAAGTGCCGTCAAGTTGGGTTCCTGAAGCCTGAACATTTGGAAATATAAAGCGGGAGCCTCTTCTGAGTGAATTGCGAGGCGGATCAACACGCGCGCTTGACGCGAGCGGCGTCTGGGCGTGCCCCTCGTTTTCCTGCAGGCCGTGGACGAGCACAACACGATTCAGGCGATCTCGACGCGGGTCGGCGCCTCCTGAACGTCCCGAACATGCACAAGACGGGAGACATCCACGGCGTCTTACAGGCCCACGTCGGCATGGAGGTGCGATTCACTGCAGCCCATGCGGATTTGAAGAAGTTGGGACTCGTGCAGGAGCAACGGGCCACCATCGCGTCCTTCGAGTTCCACCCCGAGGACGAGCAGCGGCACGAGGAGTGCAAGCCAGGCCAGCTCTCCGCCCTCGCTTCCTACCGCGGGGGATCTGGCTGCAGGTGCACGGTTTCAAGGTTTCTCCGATCTCCGATCTACCAGGAGGTCGCCGAGCTGTTGCGGCAGAGCGCCGAAGGCGCCGACGACGACGGCGAGGCCGAGGCGCGGGCGCGGAGCTTGTAGATGTCCAGGCCCAGCGAGCAGGAGTTCACGTGGCAGAGCTCGGGGCCGCACGCCGTGCGCCGCTCGGGGTTCACCATGACGCGCGCGCCCTACCTCACCTCCACGCCGTCGCAGGGTCAGACGCTGCGGAAGGTCGCCACCATCGGTTGCGCGAGGGACGAGGACGCTGGTCGCACGGGCACGTCGGACGACCATTGGTGGCTGCATCTCTACGTCATGTTCTTCCGCGCCACGCGCTTGCGGAACACGCTGATCCTGCGGCCGCCCTCGCGCGAGTTTCTGGAGCGAGGGCCGCCGGCATCCTTGCGTAAGGCACTCGAGAAGTTCCACGCGGCAGCGAAGAGCTCCAGGGCAGAGGTGGAGCAGCTCGCGGCAAGGCCGGGCTTCGTGCTGCCTCTCGCCTGAGCGCGGCTGCGCCCCGCTCGAAGCCCGCGGGGTTGTCCCAACGGCTGGGCCTCGCGCGCCAACGGCTCGCCGGGTTGTCCCGACGACCTGGCCCGCGCAGTTGCCCAACGGCTGCGCGAGATGCGGCCATTAGAGAATGCGCCCGTGCTGGCCGAGGCGGCGACGGCGCCGAGAACAACCGACGCGCGCGTTCCTGCCAAGAAAAAACAGAGGTGCACGAGGGGAACACGCGGGGCGGAGATGAGGAGGGGGAGAAGGAGGAGAGGTGAAGGGAGAGGAAGAAAAGGACGAAGAGGACGAAGAATACGAGGAGGACGGGGAGGGAGAGGAGGAGGCGGAGGACGAGGAGGAAGAGGAGAAGGAGGCGGAAGAGCAAGAGGATAAGAAATGCAACGAGTAGGACGAGTATGAACAGGAGGAGGGGAAGGATGAGAAGGAGGAGGAGGAGGAGGAGGACGCAGAGGGCGGAAGGAAGGCCTCCACCAGTCGAAGAAGAAAAGGGCGGGTGACAAGTTAAATAGAGTATCGTGTGGTCCCACCGTCTGAGTAGTTATTGATTTCTTATGACCATTACTCGTAATATTAGTACTAGTATCCTGATAAGTCGTATTGTGATTAGTCAGCTTAGTATGATTAGTATTATCCGTCGTAGTGGTATGCTCCATCGTGCTAGTCTCATCATTAGTATGAAACGTATTAGACTTCTTATGCTTAGTAATCGCATGCGTAGTGTTAACATATTTCGTAGTAGTCTGCTGGATCTTATGCTTAGCAATAGTAGTAGTACTGTGATTCAAAGTAGTAGTCTTATGCGTCTGAATAGTATTACCATTCGTCTTCTTGCTCATGATAATATGACTAGTATGACGAATACTACTAGTATGACTAGCATGCTTATTCGTAGTCCTGGCACTATTTTGAGTATTATTAGTATGGGACTTGTTACGTAATATTCGTAATACTATTCGTATTCGTATGAGTTTACGTATTCGTCGTAAAATCATGAACATTCGTCTTTTCAGTATTAGGGTTACGGTTGATATTATGATCACTGGTTATTAACAATATTCTTAATAGCAGTAAGAGTAGTAGTACTACTACTACTACTACTACTACTACTACTACTACTACTACTACTACTACTACTACTACTACTACTACTACTACTACTACTACTAGTCCTAGTACTAGTGATACGATGAATATATCAATGTTATTCCTCATCCTTCTCATCGTCATCCTCCTCCTCTTTCTCCTCCTCCTCCTTCTCCTCCTCCTGTCCCTCTTCCTCCTCCTCCTCGCACCCTCCCCTCCTTCGCCTCCGTCTCCACTTTGGCCTTCCTCCTGCTATGGCGAGGGGCTCGAGCGAGGAGGCGGCCCCACCAGGAGCGGCAGCCCAGTCCTGCACTCCACGTCCGTGCCGCGCCCCTGGAAAAAGGCGACCAGCTCGTGGCCGCTCGCAGCGCCTGGGGCCGACGGCCCGACGGGCCGGCAGGGTCGGGCAAGGCGAGCAAGGCACTACCCGAAGGGGGATCTTCGACGAAAAATAAAAGAAAAAAAACAAATAAATTCCAAAAAGGTCAAAAAAAATAAGAAAAATAGTCCCCATACTATGTTTGGACTTACCTAGGTGGATATGGGAGGGCCGGCAGGGCAGGCATACCCCGAGGCCCCACCTAGGTGGATATGGGAGGGCACCTCAATGGACCGGCGCGCTCGGCCGAGTAGCACAATCTGCGGAGACCAGACGCGGACGTGTGCTCTGGCGGATTGCGCCCGTGGGTGGACAGGAAATCCTCCTCCTCCGGAGGAGGAAGAGGAGGAGGAGGAGGAGGAAGCACTCCTTCCACAACCACCGCACACGAGACGTCGGCGCAGCTCGAGCGGCTGCAGGCGCAAGGGCCGCAGCCCGTGCCACCAGCACGCCGGAGCGCGCGCACGGGAGCGGGCTCCCACTGTCGCTCGGCGCGCCGCTGCCACGCCGCGTTCGCCCGCTTCGTGCATGAGGAGGAAGGCTGCAGCATACAATATTGAAGGCCTGGAAATTGGCACCAACACCAACACAGGGGGTTGCCTTCACAGGGGGACGATGATCCTAGATTTCGGTGTTGGAGGTAATATTTCGGCCACCTTGGAAGCCAGAATATTACCACCATCACCGAAACCGGGGTCTTCTTCCCTCTGTGGAGACACGCCGCAGATATTGGTGTTGGTGTCAACCTCGAGGCCAGCGACAATAGGGGCCCGACCACAAGAAAGCTTCCACAAGAATAGAAGGCAGAAAATGCACCCCGATGATAACCGCCGCGAGGCCGTCTAGTAAACGCGCCCAAAAGAAAAGTCGAACAGGGCAGGGCTGTTTGGTGAACGCCCAGGGCCGGGTAGTAGACACCAATTGTCTGGTCCGGGTGGCTGTTCCTCCCTTGAAAGAAACCCAATCCTGAGACCCAGGGACGTCCATTGATTCTTGGCGTGTGAGGAGGAGGAGGAGGAGGAGGAGGAGGAAGAGGAGGAGGAGGAGGAGGAGGAGGAGGAGGAAGAAGGAGGAGAGGAAAAAGGAGGGGAGGAGGAGGAGGAGGTGGAGGAGGAGGAGGAGGAGGAGGACGAGGGGAGCGAGTGGACTTGGTCGCATCGGGGAGCAGCGCAGGGGCGCCGTCCTCTCCCGCGCCGCGGCCGCGGGGCGCGCGGGGCCGGAGAGGGGGCGTGGAGCACGCGTCGCGCCATGCGCGGCGTCCAGGAGCGGCGCTGCCTCTGCAGGCCGGGGGCGTCGATGCAGGGCGGGCAGGGAGTGGGCCTGTTTTCCGCCACCACGACCATAGAATTGGAGGGGGGAAGGAGGTGGAGGACGAGGAGGAGGAGGAGGAGTAGGAGGACGAAGAGGAGGAGGAGGAGGAGGAGGAGAGGAGGAGGAGAGGAGGACGAAGGAGGAGGAGGAGGAGGAGGAGGAGGAGGAGGAGGAGGAGGAGGAGGAGGAGGAGGACCCCTCGCCCTCCAACTTGTGGTGGCGGTGGTGGGAAACAGGCCCATCGGCAGTGGCGCACTGACGGCGCGGCGTGGGTGGACGACAGATGAGGCAGAAGCTGGTCTTGTCCAGAAAGCCTGCGCGGGCAGGAGGCCGCTGATCAGGGCCAGAATCCATGTCGACAGCATCCACGAGGACCAATCCGTGGAGATGTTATGGCATCGGTCTGTAGGGCAGATCGTGCGCGCGGATGCCTGCGCGCTGGCATGTACAGCGGCATCCAGCGGATAAGGCTGGCCAGGAACGCACAGGACGCAAAAGCCACAGTTGTCCTTCTCGGCACGTCGGCCGCAGAGCGAATAGCAGGGAGGCGTGCCAAGGCGACATGGGCGACTGAATGGCGATGCCGACCCGTCCACTGGAACAGAGCATGCGGCAGTGGCGCAAATACCCCTGGCGCGCGGTGAGAGAAGGAAAGAGAATCTGACAGGCGGCACCGACGATCCGAGGACGTCTCCAGAGCAGTTGCGGGCAGACCGCTGGACTTTGCCAACAGCGATGACGAGTTTCGACGTGGAGTGGCGGTAAGAGGAATATCAGAAGAAGTCTAGGCGACGCGTTTGAAACAGCCCACCAAAGTGCATCGACGAGGTAATCGGTTTTCACTGCACAGAAGATAGAAATTACCAGCGGGTTTCATAGCCAACTCGCTGCAACCGGATGGCACATTTCAGCACGTAGAAAAATCACGGTCGGAATGGATAATTGTAGTGCATCGTGCAGTACATCATCTTTGGAATGTGTTTCGATGACGGCTAGAAGCGTTGACACCATTCGGGGTGTGAGCCGGCAGCGGATTCAGCACACGTGGTGTGGCATGCCAGGATTGATGCACGAACATCGGGTACCGTATCGTGCAAGAGCTCGCACAACAATTTTCTCGTTTTCAAATGCTTGTCTAGCTTCTCAGCGTTGCGACCGAGCGGGAAATTGACACAGGGGAGATGCTTCGCACTGCTGCGAGGAATGGCCCCAGCTGGCCGACACTGCGATGGGGATGGCGGGCAAGCGAAAACTGCAACAGACTTGGTAGGTGAACTGTTGCTTCCAAGGGCTTGCTGCGGGGTGGTCGTGAAGCTGTTCGGTTTGGGTGCGGAGTCGGATTGTTGGATGCCGACGCCAGTGGTGGCGCGTTGGTCGCAGCCGCTGGTATGGCGGTATGTCGTCGTTTCCGAACAGTCTGCCAGGTCACTGTGTCTGGCTGAGCGACAACAGAGGATGGCTCGACAGCTGACGCTGAAAATTTGCAGTCTGATATGCAACAGATTTCTAGTTGTGGCATAGCTGCCGCAATGGCCCGCCATGAAGATTGCCGCAAGTGCACTCTCGTGCGGCAGCCGCGAGACGCGTGAGCGCAAGGCAGCTACCCTTGGCTGCATGGACAGCAGTATCCAGATGCTGCTGTTGATGATAAGTTCAAGACCCACCTGATGCATGAGAGCATATAACCCAAAGCACACGGTGGTATTTGCATGGATCGGCGAGGCGTGTACTACAATACTGCATTTGTAAATCGGACGTGGACGGTGCCACTTGGAGCAAACAGCAAGGGTGATCGCATGGAGCAGCACGGGCGCACATTGGACTCCATTGGACACTTCTGCCCGCCTGCCTGGCGTCGCGGACCCCAGCGATTGTTGCATGCGTTTGGGCAAAGCTTCACTGTTCCGCCTGCTGATGGGAACCGATGTGCAGAGACATCGAAAACGGTTGCCACCAAGGTCTTCGGCAAGTAGCAAGTGCAGAGGACGCAGTGCGGCGAAGACATCCAGGACGAGGATCCGCCGGCGCAGCAGCGGCAGGTCGCTTGCGAGACGAGCAGGCGCGCCTGCAGGCCTGCTCGACAGAGTTCTCGCTGGCACGAACCAGGCGTATCTGGGTCTGCTGCTGCAGGCGCGGGGCTTTAAACCAAGCAGCTGCAGAAGAGGGGGGGAGAACGGATGCGGAGGTGCCAGAAAGACGGAAAAGATGTAAAAAGGGGGGGACAACTAGGGGGGAGACACACAAGCGGAAACGAACATAATGCCCTACCCAGACGCCGTGCCCCGAAAAAACAGAAAACCATTGGCCAGTTTCGAAGAAATATGACTTGACGTGGTAACCAAGCAACACGCATTGTGGCAACGCGGTCGTGTGTGGCGATTGGAACAGGAACGGCGTTGGAAAACATAACGTCCAGGGCGCAAAATTGGGGTTTTGTTCAGGCGTGCAGCTACAGGAGTTAATCGTGAGAAGGAAAAGATCCAGGCGCTGCGGGTCAATGATTCATGGCACGGCGCAGGCGTGAGGACGCAGGGGGCAAGGCGAAATACGATAACAGATGAGGCACAATAATACGATGGCTGATTGGAGACGCTCGGGCCATGCACAATGATACGATGGTGCATGCAACACCTGATCGAGTGGCACAAGCGTGAGGATACAAGGAGGGTAATCGTGAGGATGCAAACGTCCAGGCACTGCGGCTGAAGGATTCATGCCGACGGCGCAAGAGTGATGACGCAGGGGGCAAGTCCGAATACCACAACAGGTTAGGCGCCATGGTAAGATGGCCGTGACGGAAGGCGCCAAGCCCATGCACGATGATACGAAGGTTCATGCGACATATGACCGATTGGCACAGGTGTGAGGGTGCACTGTCCCAGGCGTAACAAACCAATGCGCAATGATGCGTCACCATCCCGATGACCTGGCGCAAGCGTAAGCGAGCAAGGTGCCAGGAGTCATCCTGACATGGTTTAGACGCACGATAGCCTCAGGCGTGTGGCTGCAATAGGGCAGAGGAGGAGGAGGAGGAGGAGGAGGAGGAGGACGAGGAGGAGGAGGAGGAGGGGGAGGAGGAGGAGGAGGAGGAGGAGGAGGAGGAGGAGGAGGAGGAGGGGGAGGAGGGAGGCGTGCTGAGGAGAGGAACCAGTCGTGCAGGGGGCACCCACGCTCGATGATGGTGGCGCAGGCGTCAGGTGCTACACTGTTTTAGGCGCGCGGGTGCCAGCGCGGCCGTACAGCAATGGCTTGGGCAGCGGTTGACGGGATGCTTCGGCTAGAATACGACTGGAAGCTGTAGGGTGCCTGTGGCTCAATTCTCCAAGCCAAACGGGAATCCATGGGGGCCCGTCGAACGCGCTTGGGGGCCTCTGGGGACCTCCGTCGAGCCCCTCTGGACCTTGGCGAGACAACGACGCAGGCGTAGATTGATTGAACGGGTCATGCAGTGTGCTGCAGGGACGCAAACATACGATGAACATGGTAAGAGAGAAGGCACCTCAGAACAAAGCTCCCCGGACGTTCCCCCCTTGACCGCGTCCCGCGGCCGGGGGGGCGTCCAGGACACCACTGTTTCAACCTTGAGCGCCCTCTGAGGACGACGGCCTAAACCTTGAAAGCCCCCCGGGCACCACCCTTTGACGCGACTCGCATCCGAGGGGACGCTTCGGAACACTACGGTTCTACCTCGAACGCCCCCCGGCACCCCCCGTTGACCGCGTCTCGCGGCCTGGGGGGCGCCTCGGAACTCGCTGGGAGGAGGCGAATTGTCGCGGGCGACGGGCAAAGCCACGAATGGCCCGCCATATCGCCGGGCGACGGGCCACGAAAATGGCCCGCCGCCCAAAACCACGCTCCTTGTTCCTCGCACCCCGGTGCTAACGCAACGCTGAGCGCCCGCCAGGGCGAAGCAAAGCCGATTGGCCTGCTCAGGCCCCGCTACCTAAGAATCTGCCACGGACGCGAGCGGCACTCAGCACGGCACTCGGCCCGACACGCGGCAAATTCGACCGCACGGCACCCTGGGGGGGCGCCTCGAGACACCCTGGGAGATAGCGAGGCGTGAGAGAGCGCGCCCGTGGCACACTCCCCAAAAAAAGGGGGGGGGGAGGCCCTGAGCTACCCCCTTGGAACTCCCATGCTGGAAGCGCCCCCCCCTTCCTTTCTTCCCGCCCTTCGAAAACTACCCCCCCACACACCCCCCTTTCGCGCTCCAGAAGCTGCCCCCCCTCCCCTTTCCAAAGGGGGGAGGGGCTCAGCTGCCCCCGCCCATGGTCGCCTGTCGGAAGCCCCCCCCCTCCTGTTTCTCTGCCCCTAGGAAGCTACCCCCCCCCGAGCGCCCCGGAAGCTACCCTCCCCGCCCCCCCTTTGCAACGGGGGAGGGGCTAAGCTACCCCCCCCCTTCGAACCTCCCCTGCCGGAAGCACCCCCCCATTCTGGAGAAAGTGCGGCGGGGGGGGGGGCTTGGAAACGCCCGTTCGTGTTCCTTCCAACGGCCTCTTTTGGGGCCGTCCGGGAAGCCGTTCTGGACGCCTCTCGGGCCGTCCTGGGGCGCTCTTAAGCCGCCTTGGGACCATCTTGGAGGCCTCTTGGGCTGTTTTTGGGTGGTCTTGGGGACCTGTTGGGCCGTCGTGGTGCGCCGGAAAACCGAAAAGACGAGAACGCCAAAGTCTTCCGAAAGCGACAAGGAAATGAATGATGTGTGCCTTCGTGGGCCCTCTTGGGAGACCTGTTGGAGGCCTCTTTGGCCCCCTTGGAAGCCCCTTGCGAAAACCCGAGCCTCCCGGCCCAAGGGGCCCCCCAAAAGACCCCAAGAGGCGACACAAGAGGCCCCAAGACGCCCCGAAAAGGCCGACAGGAGGCCCCGAGACGCCCCCAAGAGGCCCCAGAAAGACCACAAAACGGCCCCCAAGAGGCCTCAGAACTGCCTCCAAAAGGCCCCCGAAAAGCCCCCCACGACATCCCAACAAACATCCACTAGGCTTAACACGCAACCTGGGCACGGTGGCGGGACTTGCCGCAGGCAGCTGAATAATGCTATGCGCGCGCACACGTTCAACAAAACATAACCAGATCTTGAAAAGCTTTCGAAGGAGAGAACAAAAACAACACCAAACAAACACACGTAGCGCGCATGCGCGAGTCGTCGCGCGCGCACGCCAGAATCCGGAATTCAGAAAAATCAGAATCGCGAGCGGCCTGTCAACAACTAAAACATGGTGGGTTCGCCACATGAGCTTTCGAAGAAGACGGTACGCACGTTGTTTGTAAATATTGGTTTTCGAAAAATACACACGGACATATATGCATACGAGGATGCGTACATGCATACATACATGCATGCATGCATACATACATACATACATACATACATACATACATACATACATGCATACATACATACATGCATACATACATGCATACACCAATCAATTACTGAATACGCATAGTGTCATGTCATGGTATATCGTATCATAACATATCATACCATATCATACCACACTATGTCATTTCATATCATATCGTATCAGGTCATATCATGTCATATCATATCATGTAATGTCATGACATACCATATCATAACATTGTATGCCATACACTAGTGCACAATACATGATCACGCAATACCATATCATATGGAAAACGTATCATAGCATGTCCTGTGATACTATATCATTTCATGTCATGTCATATCAGAAAATGAAATGTAATATCCGTACATTACATGTCGTTGCATGTCATGTCATCGCATGTCACAAACATGCATATGTATACATGTATAATGTCGCTCAACAACTTCATTGAACTCGGCCAATCGAACCTCTCGCGCGCATGTCAAAATCATTCGAAAGCCCATGCGCGCACGCTGGGGGGCAGGAGCCCTGTCAAGGAAAACCACGCGGGCCGCTCGCGCGCATCGGCCGCGCGAGCATGTCGAAATCCTTCCAAAGCCTTCACCTCCGACGCGACGACACCATCACCGTCAGCGGCGTGATCAGCATCGGCGCCGTAATTGTCCTCGCCGTCGTCAGCGTCGCTACTATTATCATCGTGTTTGCCGTTGTGGACGTCACCATGAACCCGCGCTCGCCTGAGTCACCGACTCGCACTGATGCGTCCGCGCGAAAGTGCGGCCTACAAGACGTGCTGCGAAGCCCGCTGCTGTCATCGCCACCGCAGCCGCGTCCGTCGCGCCAGACAAACTTGCCGCTCTGCGCGTGAGCCTGCGCGCGCAAGCGCGGCCGCAGCCATGCGCCAGCCAGCGCCAAGCAGTCATCGCAATGGCCCCCGCACAGGTTTTGCAAACCAAGTTGCGGACGGGTGGGTGGGATCATTGCGCGAGCAGTGGAGTTGACAACTCGCGGCGAAAAAAAAAATTGCACCGCATAGATTGCACCACCTGGATTGCACCACCTGCACTGCAACAAATGTAGTGCACCACATGGATTGCACCACACCGGCTAGCAGAAATGAAAATCTGGGGTCCACGCCGGCTCACATGACTGTGGTTCCCCTTCTTCCTCGACTGCTCCGCTTGCCCCTCCCCCTCTTCCTCGCTCTCTCGTCCTCCCCAACGAGACCCCCCGTGCGCCTTTCGCGTCGCCCATCTGCCTCACTCGAGGGGCCCCCTCTTGGAGGGGTCCGCCATCGGGGGCAGCCAGTGGGCCGCGGGGCTCGCGGCGCCCAGCGCACCAAAAGTGCGCCTGACGGGATCCAACGGCGGCGCCGGAACCACGCCATCGCCGTCGCCGTCGAGGACCAGGTCGGACGGGAGGGAGGCGATTCCTGAGGGGAGGGTGGGGTTCACTTCGTCTGGGATTCGCTGACTCCCCCTTCTAGGGGGCCACATGCGAACCCTACCCCTACCCCCACGATTTCTGAGGGGGAGGGTGGGGTTCACTTCGCTCGGGAGCGTCAGCTTGCGTGGCCGGCTTTCCCGCGCCTGGCGGCAGGGCCGAGACCAGGTGCACGCAGCAGATTTCGTACCAACCCCTTTCCCATACCTGCCCTATCGTCTGACCCAAGAGAAGACCGTGTGGTGGTCCACGCCTTGGGCTACTGCTGCGCCTCCCGCTCTCTCAGCCATCCTCTCTCCCCCCCTTTGTCGCCTCTCTGGGGGTGTCCTGAGACGAAGCCGGGACCACACGATCGGACCTGGACAAGTCGGGGATCTCTGAGATCCGGCGGCTCTGGAGGATGAGGATGTAATTATCAGACGACGCGGCCATTCCAGAGCGCTCTGGAACGCTCTCAGGGCGTTCTGGAACGCTCTGGAACGATTTATCCAAGTCATAGCCCCCGCCCGATGCGCCCTGTGGGCAGTGCCCACAAGCACTGTCGACCCCCGCCCGGGCACTGGGCAAAGCCTCCCGGATGAGCACGCCGCCGGGTTGCATTCCTACTCTGCAGGCCTCTGGAGGCCTCCAGAGAGTTCCGGCGACCCTCGAGAATCGTCCTCGCCGCCGCCGCCGCCGCTCGTTCGACTGAATCCTGAGTCCGTGTCTTTCGCATCCTGGGCCTCCTGAGAAGGAGGACGAGGAGGAGAACAAGGACGGATAAAAAGACAAGGAGGAGGAGGAGGAGGAAGAGGAGGAGGAGGAGGAGGAGGAGGAGGAGGGAGAGGGATGAGGAGGAGGAGGAGGAGGAGGAGGGAGAAGCAGAAGGGGGAGACCCTCGACGCCACGGCCGGGTCCGCCCGGAGGTCCTGGCCAGGACACGCCACAGCACGGGGCCAGTGGGTGGTCCTGAGCCTCCCGCCGCACGGCGCCGCCAGCGCGGCCGCCAGGGGGACGAGGAAGAGGAGGAGGAGGAGGAGGAGGAGGAGGAGGAGGAGGAGGAGGAGGAGGAGGAGGAAGGATAGGAGGACAAGGACGAAGAGGAGGAGGACCCGTGCAATCCCAAGGGTCACCAACGATGTTGGAATAAGCTCTCCCCCCCTACAACGGCTCATTTCCAAAGGGACCTGCCTCGTTGGAGGACAACCGTTGGAAGATCCTGAAGCATGCCAAAAAACGGTTATCGGGATTCCAACGCCACGGTAAACCTGACTGTTACGTCTTGACGGTCCTGAATAGTACCAGAACGCCAATCCAAGGACTTCAACCTTGCGAATCATCGTAAGTGCTGCGCCCTCATTATCGCGAATCCTTCCAAAACACATTTCTGGTACGTCGATCATGGAATCCGTGAAACTCTTGCAAATGTTTAACAAGAATGCGCGCGGCGCCAAGGCGAGAGCCACATGTTGAAAAGGAACCGCCCTCAACCCGCGAAACTCTTGCAAATGTTTGATAACGAATGTGCTCGGCGCTAAGGCGAGAGCCACATTTTGAAAACGAATCGATCTCAATCCGTGAAACTCTTGCAATATTGAAAAAGAGGGTGCGCGGCGCTAGGGCGAGAGCCACATGTTGAAAACCACCCGCCCTCAATCCGTGTATTGCCACGGCGAATCCAACCAGCCCGCGCGTCCTGCAGGACGCGTTGCCATACTGCAAGCAGCCAGCTGGGGAGCGTTTGCTTCCGTCGCCCCACTTTGGCACATTGCAGTATCACCAGCCGAGCAGCCCAGGACACATCGCGACCACGACGAGAATGCAACGTCGGGAAAAAAACGCGACCAGAGCCCCAGGCCCCATAGTTCCGCTGCAGCTTCGACCCGCATCGATCTGTGAAGGCCCTGGGGCCCGAAGCCACAGTTTGAAAACCGTCGCCATTTTGGCTCGAGCATCTCTGCCTGCAGCATCTCTGCCTACTCACTACTCACTCTTACACTACACCGTTCAGCATGTCTTCTCCTCTCTCTCTCCTCTCGCCCGTGGCGTGCGCGCGGCAGGAACCCCAGTCGGTGGTCTTCTGAAGAAAGACGATGTCGCGACCAAGAAGACCCGCGTAGGACACGGTCCAAATCTCCCCCTCGACGATATGGAGAATGAGCCAAAGCCAGGCGTCGTCGTGCAGTCCGAGGGCGCCGGCGCTTCGCTCCCCGACCTTCGCTCCTCGCTCCTCGACCGCCCCGACGCTGCTGCGGGCGATGCTCACGGAGCTGCCGAGCCAGAAGAGGTCGTTCGAGAGCCGGTTACTATGCGGGGCATCGCTGCTTTGCTCAAGAACCAGCTCCGCCCCGTGACGTCCGCGGTTGCACAGCTGCGCAGGGACTTCGTCGACCTCCAAGCGGAGGTCACCGCGATGGGCGACACCCTCTCCGACAGGTTGGAGGGCGTTGAAACCGAGCTGGCAAAGAACGACTTCCGCATCGAAAAGCTGGAGCACACGCGCGAGGTGCTGGAGAAGAGGCCGGGATACAGCATGGACGAGATCGAGGACAAGATCCAGGAGTGCATCAGGATCGCCTCGACGAATGAGGCCCTCCCAGGAGTCCGGCCTCCAGAACCCCGTGATCACGGACAAGCGCACAGTAACCATGGTCATCGGCAACTTGGACGGCTTGGGGGACCTCAGCTCCGCCATCGATTGGCTCCAGAGGAAGCTCGATACTTCTTCCAGCCCCCGCCCAACAAAGGTGTACGCGAAGGGCGACTTCAAAAGCATCTTGTTCGCGGAGTTCGCTTCCACTGCCGCTCGTGATCGAGCATCGATGCACTTCGTGGAGCTGCCCTGCCGGTAGGAGACAAGAAGGCGTGGGCCAGCCAGGACAGATCCCCGCCCGATCGTGCCGCTCGGAACTTCTCCTTTGGTTTGAAGCGCATCTTCAAGAAAGATTGGAATATCCCTTACGTTGTCCAGATTACAGACGAGGCACCCTACAAGATGGCAGTTGGTGTGGACGAGGCGGTTACGGTGCACATCGAAGGCAACAGCGTCAGGTACGAGCGGCACGGAGACTGGAAGACGTGGGACGAACTTCACGACAACCCGAAGGTAAAGGAACTCATCCAGAAGAGCACTGACATGCTGTCGCGCGCAGGGCAGGGCATGAGGGCGGTGGAGGCCTCGCGAAGGGGAGCGCCAAGGGGCGCTAGGATACACCGCACATGAGCACGGTTTCACCCAATGTTTCACCAGAGCTCGCGGGAGCAGTCGGCAATACTGCACGCCCGCCCATCGATTCTCAAGCGAATTACTCATCATATGAAGCACATGTTTTTCGAGGTGGGAGGCTCGCGGTGGCCAGGCCGAGTCTCCAGCTTGGCACTTGGAACGTGGGGGGCCTCACGGAGGCGAAAATTGTGGAACCGCAGAACCACATGCTTGACTTGGACATCGACGCGTTGTGCTTGCAAGAGACACACAGATCCAAGTCGGACTATCTGGTCACGGATGAAGGGTATATGTTGGTCCTCTCAAGTTCCCTGGAAGACAGCGAAACAGCCGGCGTGGGGTTCTTGGTCTCACCACGGGCTCGACGGAGTGTCGTTGGCTTCCGACAGGCTACGTCGAGAATGGCATCTCTCAAATTCCGGGTCAGAGGCGGCAAGATCGCGATTTGTAGCGCGCACGCTCCACACAGCGGGAAACCAGCAGAAGACAGACGACATTACTTCTTAGAGCTGACACAATTCATCGGGTCGTTCTCTTGCCATGGCCCAGTGTTCTTGTGCGGTGACCTTAATGCCAGGCTGCATATCCAAAGGCCCGGCGAGGAGGCCATCATGGGAAGAAATGTTTTCGGCAACCCGCATGCGCAGCACAACCCAGAGTCGAACCAGTCCCTGCTCGTAGAGCTACGCTGCACAAGGGAGTTCGCAATCGCCAACACGTTCTTTCATGAGCCGGCAGAGCGGCAGATCCCTTGCTACGACATTGGCTCGTCTCCATCAAGCCCCAGAACACACGACCACTTCGGCCAGATAGACTTCATTGCCGTTTCTTCATCGTGGTTAGGCTTGGTGCACAGGGTGTGGAGCGACAAGACCCGAGCACTTGCTTCTCATCATTTTCTTGTCAGGGCGTGGCTCACGATGGAGGTCCTGAAGACAGAGCCCAACGATGGCCGGAAGAGAAAAGATGTCGCTGCCCTCCAGGAGCCGGGCGTGGAGCACACCTTCGCCGCTGCGTTCTGCGCCCACACGGGGCCCATCGGCGAGCGCCCAGAGACCGCCCAAGAGCTGAACGAGAAGATGATCAGAGCTCTGCACGCAGCAGCTGACGAGACTCTCCCGGAGGTTCCGCTGCGCCCAAAGAAGCCGTGGATTTCGGAAGGCACGCTGGAGCTCCTGCGCCATCGCAACCTAGCACGTTCAAGTTGCGACGTGAGGGAAGAAAGAGATCTGAACAGATCGGCGCGGGCATCCGCGAAGCAGGACCGATCGAAGTGGCTAGAAGAACAACTCGCGACGGGAGACTGGTCGCACGCGCGGAAGCTCCGAGAAGGCGTCGCCCCGAAGCAGGGCCAGCTGCGGAACGCGGCCGGGGAGCCCGTGGACTCCGATTGCCGAGCGGACACTCTGGCGCAATATCTCAGCCAAGTCCAATCTCCTCCTCCTCCTCCTCCTCCTCCTCCTCCTCCTCCTCCTCCTCCTCCTCCTCCTCCTCCTCCTCCTCCTCCTCCTCCTCCTCCTCCTCCTCAATGGGCCGTGCGACCCACTGACGCAGCTGGGACCGACGACCCCCTCGAAGCGCCGAGCTCCCAGCGTCGTGCGCGCCCGCGTCGGAGGAGGAGACCGTCTGGGCTGCTTCCAAGCAACGGCTGGGATGAGCTGCTGGCAAGGACGAGATCCCAGGGGAGATTTGGACAGCAATTTGCAGGCCTGGGCCTGACGCTTGCCAGTGGGCGACTGCACTCTGCAACAAGTGCTGGTCTGGCCGCGTCGTCCCAGACGGGTGGCACGAGGCGGTCGTGAGCGCTGTCTTCAAAAAAAGGGAGACGCTTCACAGTGCGAGAATTATCGGCCGATTTCATTGGTCTCTGTGGGATACAAGTTATTCGCTGCAATTCTTCTCAACGGACTCAAGAGCGGAGGCGCAGAACGAAGGGTATGGAGTAATTACCCAGTTTGGATTTCAGAGCCAGCACGGCACGGCTGATGCGATTTTCTTGGTCCGGCGTCTGCTGGAAAAGACGTGGCAGAAAAAGACGGGCGCCTGGTGCTCCTCGCCCTTGACTGGGCTAAAGCATTCGATAGCGTTTCGCCGGATGCACTGTGCCGGGCCCTGCAGAGATTCGGCATCCCGCCAGAATTCATCAGCGTAGTACGAGCCATCTACACGGACCGGACATTCGAGGTTCGGGACGCGGGGTCAGTGTCCAACGCTTACCCGCAGAATTTTGGAATCAGCCAGGGATGCCCTCTATCCCCGCTCCTGTTTGCAATTGTAATGACTGTTCTGCTGCACGACGCAAAGCGGGAGGCGACGCCCAACCTGGACCTGATGCAGCAGGTGCACGAGCTGGTGTACGCCGACGACACGCTGCTCGTGGCCACCACGGGCGAGGAGGCCTCCGAGTATATGCATTGCGTGCAGCGGGCTGGACAGCGATATGGCCTCCAATTCAACTGGCGAAAATTGGAAGCTCTGTCGGCGGGGTGCAACGCGCGCATCCTACAGCCGGACGGGAATGCAATTTCGCAGAAGGACAGCATAATTCACCTCGGGAGTTTGTTTGCCAGCGATGGGAAAGTCCGCACGGAGCTGTCGCGCCGACTGGGCGCTGCCAGGGCCGAGTTTGAGACTCTGACACGGGTGCGGTCTCACTCGACGCTGGACAATGCGAGGAAACTGCGGATATTTAAAGCTTGCGTGGTGAGCAAGCTGCTATAGTGTCTTCACACGTCTTTTCTGAGCAAACAAGAGCTTCGCAGATTGGACGCCTTCCAAGCCAGGTGCCTCCGGAAAGTTCTTCGTACTCCACACTCTTACATAAGTAGAGTATCCAACGAGCGGGCCCTAGAGCGCGCCGGATCCAAGCCGCTGAGCAACGCTCTACTTCGCCGCCAGCTGCTCTTCCTGGGGCACGTTGCCGGGAAGCCAGGCGACGACCCCGTGAGACAGACGGTGTTCCGGCCTTTCTCACACGAGCTGGCGCTGTCCATGTTCAGGAGGAAGAGGGGGAGACCGAGAAAGACATGGAGCTGCGAGACTCATCGCACGCTGTCCGGGCAGCTTGGGGTGAGGAGGCCCTTGCGCATCTTTGGCAGGATTCAGCGCAGTCCATCGCAGCCTGGCGCGCGACCGCCACCGCCAATCGTTTCAGCTTCAGGGTCATAAACGGCAGGGAGGGCCGGCCCCTGAATGGGGCGGGGCCGCTGAGAGAGGCCGAGATCACACGTCTTTTGCAAGGCCGCTGCGCTTCTTTGTGTATGGGTGTGGATGCAAATGTTGAACTACCCAGAGAATGCCTTGGAGCATACGGGGAGGAGGAATACTATATGACTGGGAGGGGAGCGCATGGAGTGGCGGAGCTACGCGACGAAGGGAGGGATGACAGGGTGAGGGAAGCACGGAGAAGTGGGATGAGAGCGGCCTTGCTCGACTTCACGCAGCGGTTCGGCCTCAAGACAGGCCGCAATTCGGCGGTCGCGCACCGACGCGGGAGAGCCGCGCACCCGCAGGAGGCCGCGGGCTCTCGCGGACCGCGGAGCGGAGAGTTCTAGATCGCGCCCTTCTCCCTCGCCCCCGGGAGACAGGAGACAGCACGGTGGCGCGGCATCATCGCAAGGGTGGAAAAGCCCAGACTTCTAGATTCTAGGCCAAGTGACCAGACTCTGCTTCGGCAAAGCTGTTTGGGCCCCCCTGCCCCGCTTCTACCAGCACTCCGCGATGGCGGAGTGGTTGGCGCGGAGGAAGGGCCGGCCCCTGAACGCGGCGACGCCACCCCCCTCAGAGCGCAGGCGGAGGCGGCAGGGGGTGCCAAGGGAAGGGCGCTGAGCAGGCAAGGAAGGGATGCGTGAGTGCGTGGTCGTCAGTGTGGGGGTCTGTGGACGTTTCCGTGTGCGCGTGCAAAAGTGAAGAGCGAAGTGTGTGGCGGTGGCGGCGCGGGCGCGCGCGCGCCAGGGGTGGTCGCGGTTGCGTTTGCGGCGGCAATGTGGGCAGGCGCGGGCAGCGCCGTGCGCGCGCGGAGGGGCGCGCGTGCGAGCCCGTGCGCATAGTTACCCTGCTATCCGGGTTTGGGAGTACACAACAAGAAAACGCTTATTGAAACACGCTGCGGGCTCAAGCAAGCCGTTGTAAGTTTGGACTTGGAAAACGGACTACGCAAGTAGACCACACAAGTACAATAGCAAGCTCTCTGTTCCTGGAAAACGTGGAATCCGTGGAAGCTAACTTCGAGACGTCGTCGAGCTTCCCGGACATGCTTTGGAGCGACCCGGCGAGGCCGCGGCCTGAGCTGCGGCCCCGGCTCCGGCCCCGAACGTTACCGGACAGCTCCTTGAAGAGCTAAGAGAATGCCACTGAATGCCGGCGGTAAACCAGTGACCAGGCTACCGCTGGGTACCTCGCAGTGCTCCGTACACACATAACAGCGCCAACAATGCAGAGAGGAAGCCCCCTGGAAAATCAGGTTGAAAACTAGCGGACATCATGTTTGAGGTTCTAACGAACAATCATTTGCACAAAGATTTTTGAGCGCAGCAGACCTGATAATCCAAACAAATGGGGCAGGAACTACCCCAGTTGCCAAAAAACTGCATCTCTACACGAGTCGTCACATTTCGGAAAAAAAGTTCTTGAAAATCGTGAAAAACTTATATGTTTGAAAGCGGTCCTTGGAAGTGAATCGAAGGAACTATTGCAGCTACAGCCCTAAGACTTCGACCATATTCTGGATTCCAAAAAGAATGGTCGCATTGGACAGAATACAAAAACCGCAGAATTCAATTTTCATATCAACCTAAAGTTGGTTCCCCGTGTGTTTTGATAGTAACACTGAAGCCACGGACCTGGGAATTTCATTGGCAGACGCGGCATAACCTACTACACACGAGTAAGATATTGGTCCGCCGGGAACTCGTAGAGCTTCCTCGATATAGATATACATGAATGGAATGCGGGCGCGGCAATCTCCCTTTCCGCGCGCGCGAGGATGCAGTTTCATGGGGGAGGCCGTGGAGGAGAAGAAGGAGTCAGGACGAGAGAAAAAGAGATAGAGAAGGCTGAGGAAGAGAAGGAAAAGGAGAAGAAGGAGCATTGCTGTGCCGAACAGCTCTGATCTCATCGAGTTCGGGCATCTAGATACTTCAGGCTAGCGATTCTGATAATTTCGTTTCGCTCATCTGCAGATCGAGTTATCTCAAGAGAGTCATCATCATCCCTAACAAAATAGCTGGGGACGAACAGTTTTTCGGGCCGAGCTCTGGTAGCAGACCGAGTTCAGGCATTTAGATACTCGGAACTAGCGCTCCAAACGATTTCCTTTCAGTTGCTGTGCGAAACAGCTCTGTGGTTCATCTGCAGCTCGAGTTGCATCAAGAAACCCATCATCATCTCAAAAAATTAGCAGAGTACCAATCGATGTTCAGACATAGCTCTGGCAGCAGACCGAGTTCGGGCATCTACATACTTGCGACCAGCGCTTATGGTTATTCCCTTTCGATTGCTATGCCGAACAGCTCTGTAGCTCATCTGCAGCTCGAGTTACATCAAGAAACTCATCATTCTCTCTAAATAATTAGCACAGTACGAATAGTTTTTCGAACCCGGCTCTGGTAGCAGACCGAGTTCGGGCATCTAGATACTTGAGACTAGCGCTCCGGAGGATTATCATTCGATTGCTGTGCCGAACAGCTCTGTAGCTCATCTGCAGCTCGAGTAAAGTTCAGAAAACCGACAGCACCTGCCAAGACGACACTAAACAGCCGATTCCGCCGGAGTGCTTCTTGACAGTAATGTGTACCCGAACGACCTGCGATTAAGATGGCGAGCGGGTATAAGATCGAATATGGGGGAAGAAAAGTAGAGCTCCAACGAATGTTCAGATTTCGATGAAATGAATTTAAATATGTCAAGAAACACAGACATTCCGTCGATATGTTTTGCCAACTAGCCCGCCGGCGCGCCCGAATTACTCTCTAGCTTCGCCGCTTCGCTCCTAGGGAAGCTCGACGAGTCACTTTCATATATCTCACAATCTTCGCGCAGCCGACCCAAACTTTCTACAGCGCCCGCCCTGGCCGGGGCGGTCAACTAGCCCCGTCCCGCGCCGGAACTGGGAGCCAGCGGCAAGCCGTCAACATTGTTTTTTCCCTTGCGCAGGGCCAGAGGCCTGAGCCCACGCCCGCTCGGGTCACAGCCACGCGCGAGGGGGGGGGGCAGCGAAGCCCGCGGCTTCCAGCACCGCCACGACACCCTGAAGCAGGTGCTTTGCAGCAAAAAGCTCGGCTTGAGTTATCGCGCAGGCAGACAGCAGAGAAAAGGCTTCAGAAACGACATGACACCACCAGTAGGAGGCAGATGGCCCACGGAAAGGCCTTGGAAGCGAGGGGAAGAAAAGGTTGCACAAACAAATCAAGAACCCACCCTCCGCCACAGCCTCCAGAACTGGGAGCTGGCGGTAAACCGCCAACCTTGGTTTTTTTGAGTTTGAGTCAGGGCGCGGACAGCTGTGTCAGCTGAACCCTAAGACTCCCAAACGGAGCACAGGGTAGCAAGTGCGAGCATCTCTTATCATCACACTGCCGAGCCACGGAGGCATAGGCATCGGAATAGGATGCAGCAAGAAAGAAAAGCATCTCTTATCTTCACACTGCCGAGCCACGGAGGCGTAGACATAGGAATAAGATGCAAGATGGTTAGAGTGAAGAAGCAAATCCAAGAAAAAAGAAATGAGTCAGCTGCTTGGATGAAAGGGTACCCAAAATGTGTTCCACGGCCATACAGAGCCGCTGTGCTGCAAACATCTCACAGAACATGACAGAAGCAGAGGCATCAAGCGAGAAAGCTTCCTCCGCCACCAACTGCCACGTCCCGTGTACACACAAATCTATACACCATCCTGCAGCACATCCCTCCACAGAGCGACGTCCGTCGAAGAATCCACGGAGGCCGTCTAGCTTTGTTTTGCTCGCATGTTCAATAAGAGAGGTATGGAACGTAACGTAACTATTTCTGGTTCTGGCCAACCATGTCAGCCTGTCAGCTCTTTCGTTTCCCTCTCGATAGATCCACTTGAACATATTGTGGCCCCAACTCGGAGGCCTCATACCATACAACACCGAGATATGCTCCAGCCTGTTTTGAATGTCGCCGAGAATGTGCTTGTAGATAATATTGGATGTTGCCCAGAGACCGTTAATCCTATTCACCCCTGTGGAGGAGTCACCAATCAATTCCATCGGTATCGAGTCCCGAGGCTCCGCATTCCACTCCGATGCATGTTCATTTGTGTACGCAATTCGTTTCGCCTTTTTCTCCTCCTCCTTCCTTTGCTGCTCCTCCGTCTTCTCCCTCTCCTCCTCCTCCCCAACATACCCCGCAGGTTGTGCATGTTTGAAATAACAGTACCCCCATGCCTCCTCCATGTTAGTAACGCCCAGCGCCCGCTTCAGAAATTCTTTCCACCCATGACGTGAAAAGGATAACGTATGATACCAATCCTTCCCTGACACCAACTCGAAAATGGAATGGAAGTTTCTCGACGCCAGTGGTCTCCCCCCCTCATGTCGACGCGTCATTAATGGGCGATCTCTACAAGGCAACGATGCAATGAAGGCCTGCCGTCGGTAAGTCCACTCCCCCGACCATGCAAACATACATTCTCTAGCCTGCATATGCGAGTCCCCTGTGCTACGATGATGAGGTGGAGCCACCCGTCGCCGCTTGTTTGCAGCGATTTCCTGCGACGGCAGCTCAATAGAGGAACGCTTTTGCGACAGAGAATCCTGAGCAACAGCAGGGCAATGGGATGTCTTTGCACGCTTATGCATTTGGGAAATCAAATTGCGCCGATGCGCAGGTAATTGTGTCTGCGAACAACCAGGAAGCTCAAAATAATCAGCTGCATGCATCGTCTCGCACACACCAGGATGACTTCCCATTGATGCCGAGCTCACAATATCTGGTAACACGTACATGGGCTCGTCCTGACGTTGTCTCTTGGCTGGCGGTGGCTCAGATGTAGCAAAGACGTCGGGGCCAAGCTTACCAGAAGAATCGAATGTACCTGGAGGAATCTGTGCGGGTGTTGGGTTCAGGCGTTTCACAGCAAACGTACAATCCTGATCCCACTGCCCCTGACGAAACAAGAATAATTGCACAAGAGACGGTCGTCCCAATTCCAGCATACGCCGCCCACGTTGATACAAGTTACAGTAGTATAGACTCCAATCCATGCTGGCAGGTTTCGGGCGACGTACCATGGAACACAATATGTTACCTTCCCACGTGTGCAACTGTTTGAAGGTGTGATGGTCCGCTGGCATGCCCTCGACGCCGTAAAGTACAAAGCTACGCAACCTAGATTCATAGTGCTTGATTTTCTTCTGGAATGGTACAGCACGATTCGTATAAAACTCGCGGAACTGATTAAATCGCTTCCAACCCCGAGCCAATTTTCAAGCCACATCATGGTGTTTGACAATCTTGGTCGTGACAAGGCAACCCAGGCACTCCATTTCAGAGCATCGCGGAAGACACAGGGCACCGAGATCGTTCACGTGGACAACGAGGTTCCCCGACGAGGCGCCTTCAGAGTCCGCCCCAAGAGCAAGATAGTGTAGTGAGGAATCGTTCCATCTGGAACCGCGTGCGTGAAGCTGAGAGGAGAGCCCCCCACCATACGTGCGAGCTCAATCTTGGATTTCGAGAAAGGCAAAATGTTATCGGCCCAGAGTGCGTGAGAAAGATACCTCCCACCAGCCTCCTCCCCCAAGTCGTACCCCAGCTTCGCCTCCTCCAAATTCAATAGAATCTTATCCCACATGAGTAGAGTCATACACTTCCACAGGAACGGGGCCTCCACACTGCCAGTACGCACACATACGTCCCAGGGAATACCCGTCGCCGTGGAGTCCTGGAAGGTAAAATCCGCTGTGTCCAGGATACTGGGAGCGAGCAACGCCGACGCAAGATCATGGGGAAGCCCAGGGATGGCATCCAAGGCCCGACTGGCCTTTTCAACCGTGACGTTATCAAATGCTGTCTGCACATCTAGTGCCGCAAGGTGCAGGGTCTCATCCTTGCCCCACTCCAGAGCAGGTGTAGTGACGTGCTTAAGCATGGCGGTGATCTCGTGCGTGCGTCTTCCCTTGCAAAATCCGTAGCTATGCAGATAGTGCGGGGCCCTTTTTAGGTGACCTTCAGCAATATCAACCAAACATGAAGTATACCATTTGCTTAGGCTGCTAAGTAAAACGAGAGCTCGAGTATCAGACAACTTAGTGATATCCTTAGCTTTCGGCATCAAGACCACAAGCAATTCAGACCAAATCCGAGGAGTAGGGTACCGTTGGAGATAGAGGCCCTGGAATAGCCGTAGAATATGACGGAGGCCAACCCACGTGAAACGTTTCAACAAAGAAGGGGGAACCCCATCCTTACCCACCGCCTTACCACACTTTGAGCGTGATCGTGCCTGCAACAATACGGACATGGAAATGGGGGAGACGGCCTGAAAGCTCGTGTCCTGCAAGCTCCTCCTCCTCCTCTCTTCAATGCAAACCACGTTTCGTATCCCTTGCGCAGCACAGTGGTATTTGCTGAATCCGTGAGCATAGAGCGCATTTTTTCCCACAACTCCCTATCCTCCGTGAGCACATTGTCATAACTCAATTTGTCCACCACCGTCCGAGTGAGCTTCCCGTCACGATGATCGTATACGAGTCGACGACGAGTGTGCGAACGCATTTCCTTCCTTCCCCCCTTCTCAACCCTCATGAGCTCCTCCTCCTCCCCTTCTTCACGACGCAGCCGGCGATATTCATCATCAAGTTCTTTGTGGCGATCAGTCTTTTGGGGGATCTGCATTTTCTTTGGGACATTGGTGTATGACTCCTTGTCCTGTGCACATGCATCCAAGATCACAGGAGCCAATTCCTCCAGGCAGAGGCCGGGTGGGCAACGAGCTGCAGCATGCAAACGACGATCAAGATTAGCCGAAACGTTCAATCCCGAGGCCTCCTCACAGCACCAATGAGTGAACGTCCGCCGTGGTTTCGTTCTCCAACGTCGAGTCAGAGCGGCCGATTCGGGGACAAGCAAGGTGAGCAGGGCATGGTCCGACAAGCGAGTCCTTCCGGGGTCCACGGAGCCCTTGAGTGTAGGCCTCAACCACGACACCCCCCACTGAGGCCTTTTTCCCAGAAGCTCGGAATACACACGTAGTCAAGAACCTTGTCCTCCTCCTCCGTCTCCCCCTTAGCCTTCCAGGTCGTACGACGAGCCCCAGATGAGTTTGAGAAAACCAAACCATAGTGCCACATACATTCACAGAGCTCGTCACACATGTACTGTTGCATCCTCCTCCTAACCTGCTGAAAACCTTCACGTCCACCTGCTCCTGCATTGTCCCCTTCTTCAACTCTCTCACCCTGAACAGCAGAACCAGTCAGAGCAACATCTCCGAAGACCGTGTCAGGCAGAAGCTCAACGCTGGCATCCACCCCGACTAACAAGTCCCACCCTTCCTTGAGAAACCTGACTCGGAGCGCATCCCAATCCTTTCGAAACGATTGCAAAGTTTGTGCGGGTAAGATGTTGTGATCCCCTTTTTTTTGTTTCGGCGCATGTGGCAAGTACAAGCTGGCAACAATCAACGACTGAAACACGAGAATGACATAACGAGTACCCCTGATGCATTCACGCATGGAGGCTCTACACACCCTCTTGTAGAGAAGCCCCGCCTGCCCATCATTAGTAAGAGTTAAAGTGAAACCATGTTCAGAGCACCTACCTATTCCGAGGAATTGGCACTCCTGCAAAGCGAGAACATCCGAATTCGAGGTCTTGATCTGAGCAGGCAAGTCGCGGCTGTTCATCCAGCCACAGCGCCTCACGTTGTACGTGCCCACGATGGCGCCATGGCACCCTCCCCAGGTACGAAAGTTGAGCTTGGCCTGGAAGGCCTCGCAATCCAACTTGTCATCGACCTTACGCAGCAGCTCGGCATCAACCTTCCACCCCAAGTTAGGATCAGAAGCGGCAATGCAGACTCCCTCCGTCTTCGGCGTCGTTGCCGAGGGATAGCCCCACACATAGCTGACAGGAGGACCCGTCTCACCCTTCAGCCACTGGGAGCCACTCCTGAGAGTAGCAAAGATAGCTCGACAACGACCCACAGCAGAAACATGTGGTTGCTTCCAAGGTGCTGGTTCACAAGAGAGGCCGAGACGCTTGTTGCCCAGGATGGGGGTGAATTGCTTCAAGTCGTGCGTGTCATTCTCAAGCTCCATGGCCCAAGGATTGCGTATCTCACATATTTCATCATTGGTCAACTTGCCTTTTATCACATAGAATCGTATCCGATATAGTCCATATGGTTTGTTTTGTGCTCCCGCTCGATCCTACTCATGCCGAAATGCTCCTCAGCCATCTTCCCCGTGCCACGGACAATTTTACGAATAAGAGGCAGAGCATGACCCCAAGAGAGCATATCCGATGAACGAGTCTTGAGGTTGCCGACTCCACCTCGAGCCCAACCCGTGAGTTGAATGAAGGTCGGTGCGAAGTCCTCCCGCACACGATTCCATTCACGAACTGGCGTACGATTACCATACCTGGGAGCAGTGGCCGTGGCACAGGATCCCGCTGGGCCCGCATAGTTACTCCAAGCATCCGTGGAACCTGATCCCGCATCACTGGGTGGTCCCTTCTGTTGAAGCAAACGGATCTGCTGCTGCATAGCTGCAATACCAGCCTCATTATTTTCACCCCGCTGGTCGATCCGTTCGACATCCTGCTCAATCCGTGAAATTCGTTTCTTCTGAATGTCCTGCTTTGCTAACATCGCGTTCATCATGGCAAATTGTTGCTTCATGGGATTGCCGTCATCGAATTCCCCGAACTGCTCATATTCCTCACTGCTTGCCTGAATCATATCCTCATCCTCGCCCTCAGCCTTACTCTTTTTGGAACGGGGCTCACCTGCTTGGTCATGCTGAGACATTGCTGCAAAAGTGACGGTGTTCGAATACTTGAACCCCTCTGGAAAGCCCCACGGTTCTAAGAAGTTGATGTCTTCACGGGACCGCTTAAAATCTGTCGTCGTGTCGAAATTCTCTCCACAAGAAAATACAGCACGCCACCTGCCTGAGAAAAATTGGATACGCTGATCTCGGAGCCCTGACGAAACACTGACAAGTCAACCCAAGAATATGCAGCGAAACAGAAAACAAAATGGGGATGCAGATGTGCAGCACAATAAAGCAAAGATACAACAAAGGATACCTGCGGACCTGCGCACCTGGAAGAGCTCGACGGCGGGCGCCAATCGCCCCGCCCTCCCCGCGGAATAGTACGATACACGAGTGTGAAGCACCTTCCGCACGATGCGGTTCGAACCGCACGAAGA